TGTCCTCCGGCGATGGGTTACAGTTTTGCTGCGGGAACCGTTGACGGACCTGGTGCATTTTCATTCAAACAAGGAACTCTATCCACGAATCCAACATGGAACATCGTGAGAAACATATTGGCATCACCTACGGAAAACGATATTCTATGTCAAGCACCTAAACCCATATTGTTAGCTACGGGAAGAGTGAGCAAGCTTTTGCATTTTTATATCCCTTTCCCCCACCCCCACCCCCACCACACCCCCCGATTTATAAACTTTATTTTAATCCGCAGATGAAATATCCATTCGATTGGCAACCGAGCATAGTATCGACTCAATTGGCACTCATAGGAAACGTCGCTTTGATTGCCGTACCTGGAGAATTCACGACAATGTCCGGTAGAAGAATGAAAAAACAAATAACGAAAAGAATGATGGAAAACGGTTTGGTTAATCCTTGGCCGATTATCGCGGGTTTAAGCAACACTTACAGCGACTACATAACCACGTTCGAAGAATACCAGGTTAAAACAATATTATTATTATTATTATTATCCACCATTAAACACGACAAGGCTACTTGTCGGAGTTTTTAAGTATTTATCCGAGGTTTCTACCCGATTCCTTAGGGACAAATACTCGAATTTCGGTGGTGCCACTTATTATAAGATAGCACCACATCAATTCTTGAAGGTCTTCCTGAGTCCGTCTTTTTCGATGGGAACGATTTGTCTCCTGAACTGGGCTCCGGTGACTAACATCTTTGGAGTGGCCAGGGTCAGAAGCAGTGAAATTCACGTTCTCGTCGAGCTGCCTCAGGTCGACAGTAGAACAAGATTTTGTTTTTGGTTCTTACTTTGTCTTGTTCTCATTTTTTTTTTTTTTTGCTCTTTTTAAGCCAACAGCACGTGGCGTTCTCAAACGGTCACCCATCCAAGTTTGCACCACGCCCGATGCTGCTTAACTTCGGTGATCGTACGGGAACCGGTGTGACCAGCACGCTATGGCCGTTGGCTTTTTATTATTATTATTATTATTATTATTATTATTATTATTATTATTATTATTATTATTATTATTT